AACCTAGAAGCATTTCCACCTTATCAGGTTCAAGTGGAGCAACTTTATTCCTTCCAACCCATACTAGATTCCATTTTCAGCACTCATCAAGAACATACTTCTGGACACTCGAAAGTGGCTCTTTGTCATAAGCTTCAAGAACATTACAAATCTTTCTATTAATTTGGCACTTCCTGTACATGTTTATAAACAGTTCAACTTTGTTTTTGGATTCCAAGAAGGCCATCATTTCTTTGTCAATGGAAAAGCATCAGCACATGGAAGAAGCAGAATAAGAGAAACTCTGTTCTTAATTGGCAGATTATGAATATAGCCTATTTTCATGTGACAGCAGGAAAATGCTTCGAATCTACAAATTCTGGCTTTACATCGAATAAGTACTGTGATATCCCAGTCCAAACATTAAATGGAACAAATGAATGTGCTCATAGCATCTTCTGGAATTGTTCTTTGAGTTATCTGATCTGGTTTGGCAAAACCAATCATTGAATTTGGAAGATGAATGTGCTCATAGCATCTTCTGGAAGTGTTCTTTGAGTTATCTGATCTGGTTGATCAGAACATAGCATCTTCTGGAAGTGTTCTTTGAGTTATCTGATCTGGTTGGACAGAACATAACATCTTCTGGAAGTGTTCTTTGAGTTATCTGATCTGGTTGGACAGAACATAGCATCTTCTGGAAGTGTTCTTTGAGTTATCTGATCTGGTTGATCAGAACATAGCATCTTCTGGAAGTGTTCTTTAAGTTATCTGATCTGGTTGGACAGAACATAGCATCTTCTGGAAGTGTTCTTTGAGTTATCTGATCTGATTGGACAAAATCAAGTATTGAATTTAAAAGATAAATTTGCCAATAGCATCTTCTGGAAGTGTTCTTTGAGTTATCTTTTACTAGAAGAAGTAGCATCAGCAGCCTTGCATCAGCAGCCTTAGTCATTTGAGCAGCACATATAAAATTTATCAATTTTACAATTGATGAGTTTGGACCACATTTCTACATGGCTATTGAAGCTTCAGCCTTTGAGAATCCCATTTTTGTCAAGTATAACAGTTTATTCTCCTCATCAGAATCAGAATTCAAGATTTTTTGGTATTAGAAGAACTATCGATATCTGTGAAATCATCTTGAAAGGCCATTTCATAATCAGATGAGCTGTTATCAGAATCAACATGTTGCTTGAATGCAAGTTTTTCAAGAGCCTACACAATTGAGTTTTATTCTCAAGAAATTTTTGTGACATTATATCTACCTCTACATTTGTCAAAGAGGATAGATTCTCTGATTTGAAGAAGAAAGATTTATTGGGTTTCTACAACTGAAGAAATATTCAATTCACTCATCTGAAATCAAATAACTTAACATTCATGCATCATATTTTAGGTGTTTACAAAAATAGGTGCATTTTCATTCATTTTCATCTATGTTGAATTTTTAACAGGAATTTTAAAGATTTTAGCAAAGACTTGAATTCATCAAACTGATGGATCATCATTTCCAGAGGAAGAGTTCATAATGAGAAGAACTCGTCATCTGAAGAAGGAAGAAGAAGTTCATAATGAGAAGAACTTGTTCAACCTTTTGCTTGAATTCATCAATTTGATGGATCATCATTTCCAGAGGAAGAGTTCATAATGAGAAGAACTCGTCATCTGAAGAAGGAAGAAGAAGTTCATAATGAGAAGAACTTGTTCAACCTTTTGCTTGAATTCATCACTTGATGGATCATTCTTTTCCAGAGAAAGTTCATAATGAGAAGAACTCATCTGAAGAAGGAAGAAGAAATTCATAATGAGAAGAACTTGTTCAACCTTTTGCTTGAATTCATCAAATTGATGGATCATCATTTCCAGAGGAAGAGTTCATAATGAGAAGAACTCGTCATCTGAAGAAGGAAGAAGAAGTTCATAATGAGAAGAACTTGTTCAACCTTTTGCTTGAATTCATCAAATTGATGGATCATCATTTCCAGAGAAGAGTTCATAATGAGAAGAACTCGTCATCTGAAGAAGGAAGAAGTTCATAATGAGAAGAACTTGTTCAATCTTTTGCTTGAATTCATCATTTGATGGAACATCATCCCCAGCAGAAAGTTCATAATGAGAAGAACTCATCTGGAGAAAAAGAAGAATTTATTCAATATCTCCATAATGATCAAAGTAAAGTCAAATGGATAAAAAATTTTATTATCTTTTCATCTTTGCCCTATTCTTGTTAACACAAGAATGAGCAAAGAGGGGCAGCTGAAGATACTATTTTTTATCCATATTATTATTATTATTTATTTTATTAATATTATTATTATCATTATTAATATTATTATTATTATTTTTATTTTTATTATTATTATTATTATTTTATTATTAAATATATTAAATACATATAAATTACAAACCAATTACAATTCAACCGGCCCAGTTACAAACCAACTGAAACCGGTCCAAATCCAACCAGAAACCCTAAATATTTGGGTTTCCAGTTAGGGTTTCCTAACCCTAATCATCCTCAGCCGCCTCATCACAACCGTTGGATCTGGCACGATCCAACGGTCCACATGGTTCCAGAGAGAAACCCTAGGGTTGATACCCTAGGGCCACGCGGCGCCGCCCCTTCCACGCGGCTGCCGACAGTCTTCTCGCCGCCACGCCGCTGCCACGTCCCAACCGAAGACTCCAGAAGATAAAATGGCAGCCGTCCACGCCATGGCTACTCGGTGAGTCACCACTGGTAGTCCGGTGACTCACCGAGAGCCCTTCTTCGGACCGGTCCGACGGCTACACCGGTGGTGGCTATAAAAGCCACCACCCATCTGCAAGAAAAGAAGAGGGACAGAAACAGAGAAAAAAAAAAACAGAGAAAATACAACTACCAACGATCCCAGTCTACAACAACAGAGCAAAAACAAAAGGAAAAAGGAAGAAAAAAACTTACCGAGGGAACCGTTGGTCATCAGAACCTTTTTGGAGCCATCGGAAAGTCAAAGGTCGAAGGTATAAACTTTAGATCTACGCATTTCAGTAGTATTTTAGGCTAAAAAACCTACGGATCTAGCTTTAGGGAAAACCAGGCTTTAATTTGGGGTGGGATTTGTAATTTCCGGCCACCGGATATGGCGCCGGCGGTGGTATTGACGGTGGCTAACGGCGGCCGGCCGGAGAGCTTCTCTCTTTTCTAGAGAGAAGCGGAGAATTTCTTTCTCTCAGAAAGAGAGAGAGAGGGAAGAGAGGAGAAATGAGGCTGGCCCTTCGGGCCAGCTGATTTAGGCTTAAATAGCCCTTCCCGAACGACGCCGTTTTGGGAAGGGCTATTCACGTAATTACGAAATAGTTAAACCCCGGACGCAGTCCTTCGTATTTGTAAATTTTACATTTTGGTCACTAAACTGAATTTGTAATAATTTTAATTTAGTCTTCGAATTTTAATTTTATTCATTTTAGTCCCTTTTATTAAAATAATATATTTAGGATAAATGACAGATTTAATCCCTTAATTTTAATAAATAAAATTTTTCCCTAGTTCATATTTTTAATTAATTTTATTATAAAATTTGAATTTTAGATAATTTTGTTTTGGTCACTAAATTATTAAATTAAAAAATAAAATATTTAATTAGGAATTAGATTTAATTTTATTTTTATTATAATTTTTATTTATTTTATAGTTTTAATTTTACTGCTTAAAATACATTGTTTTAGTAATATTTTTATTTATATGGTTAAATATAATTCAAATATATAATTTTTAATATTTATATTTATTTTTTATCAAAGAAAAGGACAGTCTTAATACAACTGGATGTCCTATTCTGATATTTTAAAAAATAAACAATATTATTTAAATTAATATTTATCAATATCAAAGAAAAGAGCTGTCTTAAGGCACCTAGAAGTTCTTTTCGGATATTTTTAAATAAATATAATTTTGAAAATAATAGAATTATAAATTAAATATATTTTTGAATTTTTAAAATTTTAATGATATAGACAATTTATAATTAAAAAGTACCAATTTTGGGCGTTGTAGGGGTGCTAATCCTTCCCTAAACGTAACCGACCACGAATCCCTTGTTATTATTAAAAAGAACGAATTTTTGGTTATAAACGCAGATCAGTTTAATTTTTTAATTGATGTTTTTTTAAAACTCTTTTAAAAAATATTTTTTTTAGGTATTCGACCTACCTGACCCAAAAGGCCGATGGTGACTCCCAAATTATTTTCAAAACCATCTATTCACATCAATTTCCCCGCCAAATTTAAATATATTCGTGCCCGGACGAAAACCGGTTACGACAATACCATGTGAGAATGCTGCCATGGAGGAGATGACAGAATGAAGCTTTTATTAATAGTCATGAAATACTCTGCATTACATCAACTTATATAATAGATGTGCCTTCAAGTTTACTCTACCTCTATAACAGATTCAAAACAGACTCCAACATTCATAACAAACTTTAACAGCTCACTCACACACACAATGCTCATATTAGGAGCATATGCACACATTGCATATTCTAGAATACAATCGTGTATTCTAAATACTTTAATAAGATGAAATCAAAATCTATTGATTTCGTCAAATATCATCCCTTATCAAATCTCTAATGACTATAGAACATCGAATGACCTCAAATAATAAAATGTATAGACTAAAGTTCAGGTTTTATAGGGACCAAAATCATAACTTGATCCGAGATCAAGAGATAATAAAATAACTATACCACCCAATCAATGAACTCAACTCCACAAGCGGAAAACGAAAGAAGAAAAAGGTCGACATCCAGCTGGAAATCTGACGCACCAGATGACGTAAAAAACAAAAAAATCCAAAATCATAGACAACTGGTAAAATATAAATCAAACTAATTAAATTAAAAAAATGGTGTACGTTCCAATTTACAAACCCTTTTATAGGCGACCCCATTGCACCATGTCAAAACTTCACAGATTTCACACAAGTTCTTCGTCTTCCTCCAGACACTCTCTCGTGTTTTCTCTTAGCTCTTTTTTCGTAAAGAATTTTAATTTATGGACAAAGGATGGGGACTTACCCTTGAATCCGATACTGCTACTAGTAATTTTTTCTCCAGCAAAACTAGTTCTACAAAGGGTAGTTTCCTTAGGTTGAACCAGCAAAGAGACATGTTTCAGTTTCCGATCAGCCTTGCCGGCTCTAGAGACGACAGCCAGCGAACCTCCGGTTCTTCCTCCTCACCGTCCGATGATACACGGATTCCCGTCGACGAGGTTGACTTTTTCTCTGATAAGAAATCGAGGACCTTTGATGATGACCGTGTTAAGAAGGAACACGGCGAACCAGCTCGTGCCTCCGATTTGGATGTAAATGTAAGTTGGATTTTATCTGTGATTCAGTCCACAGAATTATCGTTAATTTTTACTTTTATGTAGTAATTAATTATGATTTTTTTCTTCTAATTTCAGACTGGGTTGCTTCTTCTGACAGGCAGAAGTGATCAATCAACTGTTGATGATGGTGTCTCATCGGATATGGAAGATAGGCGAGCCAAGGATGAAGTAAGAGGAAAATACTATTAAATTTCAAAATTCCAAAAGAGTATAGGGACTAATATTCTTTTTCTGAATCCTTGTTTCCTTGGTTTTCAGCTGGCGCAGTTACAAGTGGAGTTGAAACGCATGAATGCTGAAAATCAAAAGCTTAAAGACATGCTTAGCTATGTCGGCAACAATTACACTGCTCTCCAGATGCACCTTGTGACCTTAATGCAGCAGCAACAAAACCGAGAAACCGAAACCATCCAAGAACAACATCAGGTAATTGATTAAAATTAGAGTCGAAACGAATCAAACCGATAACGAGTTTACTGAATATGTTTGTTTTCTGGATTTTCAGATTCAAGAAGTGAAATCCGAAGAGAAGAAACACGGTGAAGAGGTAATGCCTTTCAAAATATTAGATCCAGGCCCCTCCGGTGGAGCAGAAGCAGCCGAGATGCTGTCCATCCATTCATCGTCGGAAGAAAGAACTCGTTCAGGGACACCTCAAAACAACGTGGAAAAAAGAATCGGTAGAGAAAGCCCTGAATCCGAAAGCTGGGGACCTAATAGCAAAGTCCCAAAGCTGACTTCTGGGAAACCGATTGATCAATCCGTCGAGGCCACCATGAGGAAAGCTCGTGTCTCGGTTCGAGCTCGATCGCAAGCTCCCATGGTATGTATTATAGCCTGCTTTAATCACTTCTTTAACTGTGAAATTGTCAGATTGTTGTGAAGCTGATTGATTGTTAAATCGATGCATGCACAGATAACTGATGGATGCCAATGGAGAAAATATGGACAAAAGATGGCTAAAGGAAACCCATGTCCTCGAGCTTATTACCGATGCACCATGGCTGCTGGTTGTCCCGTCCGGAAACAAGTATGTTGCAATCTTATTGTTGTTCTTTTTAGGGGTTAATTCAAGAAAACATCCTCAAATGAAAGCTCGGATGCTAAATTGATCATCCTAACTTCAAAACATTCTAATTAAATCCTGAAAGTATTATTATTGTATCGGTCTAAGCATTAATATTAGTTCAAGTTTGATATGAAACATATTTAAAACACATTATTAGTGAAAGAACAAAAGGAGGGTTGGAAGAACTGCTAATTTTTTTGTCTAATGATAATTTAAATCATTATAAGTTTAAATTAGACAAATTAGGCTTTATCCCTCAAGAGTTTAAGTACTTAATAAGACCTTGTATTTCTCAAGTATATTAATTTAGTTTATCTCAGTATTCGAGTATGACTCCATCTATCTGTATAATTAAATTATTATAACTAACAACCAGTTGGTCTAGTGGGATGAGGTACTAGATCCCTTAAGCAAGGTTAGAGGTTCAAATCTTGGCGTTTAAGAATGAAGCAAACTGGGATGGGAGCCATCGCCTATTAGTCGGTCAATAGATCGGATACCAGTGATTAATTTAAAAAAAAGAATTATTTATAAACCATTGTACATTTATTATACGTATAACTTAGATTTGATCGATTAAAAGATTCTGCTTTAGGTCATATTTGAGCTAACATTTTAATTTTGAAAATAATGTCAAGACTATGAAAATACATTATTAACACTTTGAAGACTGAATTAGAACGATTTAAAGGTTAAGAACTAATTTAGAATTTAGGCCATAGTTTGAGGATATCTGGTTATATTATCCTTTTTCCTTAATATTTATTTCGATCTTATCAAGATTTCAAAGCATGAAGCTAACTTATTTTTTATGGTTGATCACAGGTTCAACGCTGCGCGGATGATAGAACAATCTTGATAACAACATACGAGGGCAACCACAACCACCCACTGCCTGCGCCCGCGATGGCAATGGCATCAACAACGGCAGCAGCAGCCAGCATGTTGCTTTCAGGGTCAATGCCAAGTGCAGATGGTATCATGAACCAAAACTTGCTTGCAAGGGCAATCCTTCCATGCTCCTCAAGCATGGCGACCATATCGGCCTCGGCGCCATTCCCCACCGTGACATTGGACCTAACACACTCACCGAACCCTCTACAATTCCGAAGCCCACCACCGCCACCGCTGCAGCCGCAGCAATTCCAAGTCCCTTTCTACTCCCAACCCCAAAACTTGCCTCAAATTTTTGGTCAGCCATTGTACAACCAGTCAAAAATCTCAGGCTTGCAGCTGTCACATGTCCCACATCCACAATTTCAGCAGCCTCAACAACCTTCGTTGGCGGACACGGTTACCGCCGCCATCACGAACGATCCCGGCTTCACCGCAGCCCTCGCGGCAGCCATCAAATCCATCATCGGCGGCAGTCATCCAAATAGTAGCAGCAACACCTCCAACAACAACACATCAAGCAACACGAAATAACTAAGATCTTAGAACACGCACACGCACACACACAGCATCATCCTCTCCTATCATTGTCCCGTTTTAATGATTCAGTTCAGATTTTCGAGTAAATACACCCAAAAAAGAACATCATCTCCTTTCCCATGAGGATATCTTATCTACTTCTTTCTATTTTTAAGGATCGATTGCACTATTAGTCCCTAAACTTCAAAGCTTTCATCTGACGTGTTTAAAAACAACAAAACAAAACAAAGGAGTAATCTTGAAGAGATGAGTCAAGAAAATACGGCTACTGTACTTGGACACGTAACTTGTTCGTATACTAAGAAAACAGTAGACTTTGTTTAGTAGGAGTCTTCAAGGAAACTACGTGTGCATTGAATATAACGAAAAGAAACATTGACGGAAAGGGATTAAAATTTTTGTTTGGATCAGATTTGATTCAATGAAGAAGATGACGATAACTTGTTGGGTTTTAGTTTCGTGGAATTTGTGGGTGTGCTGCAATTATTCTAATCGACAACTCAGATACGTACGATTGTTTTGACTTTCCGTGCATCCACTTGATCCACATCTTCATGCTAATTAAAACATCCAATTTCGTCTGAATATTTTTGGTCAAATTTGTGTTTTAGTCCCTTTTAAGTTTTTATGTTAAAATTTATAAATTTTTTTGGCAAAGGTTAAAATTTATACTTTGATTTATCCTACTGTATAATCCTTTTACTTTTGCAATATCAGAAGTCTAATATTGTTAACTGATCCGATTAAAATGGACCTTTTAAAACTAAAATATTAGATATATAAAGTTCACTAATATTTCAAAATTTATTATAACTATAAGAAAACGTTAAATAGTGGTAAACAATAACTTCATGTAATAAAGTGAAATACAAAGTAAGCTATTCTCTAAATAATGTGGGTCTTAGACTTGAAAATTCTTGGGTCAAACATCCTAAATACACATATATATACAAAAAAAATTTAAAAAAATTTGGAGGCCCTTACAAAAATTAGGCCATGTGCAGTTGGACAGCCCGCACAGGCCCAAAACCGGCCCTGTAAAAATCATATCAATATTTTATCTAAAATGTTTGATATTATTAACTATTTGGATTACATAACGACTATAAAATAGAATGACCAAATTATGTCAAATAAAAGTACATAAATCAAATATCAATTTTAAGTATAATATATAGGGACCAAGATCATAATTTGATCGATACTTGGAGCAGTGGTGGGACTTCTCTACCTGAAACTTTGTTGGTCGCACCGTACATCATAATCTTTCTTACGCTATCTTATCACGCTCCCACGTGCTTACATGTGACCCCACCCATATCCATTTTAATGCTTAATTTCTTTCTTCTTTTCATTATTTTATATACAAAGTAACGGATTTAGAGATTTTGTTTAGGTATTAGAGATTTTGTTTAGGTAGGCTTACGAGCATTAATGCTATAAAATTTTTATATGATTAAATGTAAATAAAATTTTAAAATATATATAATTAATAAAATAAACAATTAATTAAAGAAAACTTTAATCTTGTTCACTCTAAACTGCGAGTAAATTTACATATATATTATAAAGGAACATGGAGCCTGCAAACTTACCAAGGACAACTAGGTGGAAGGCCCTGCCAGAGGGGTGGACTAAGGTAAATATCAATTGGATAAGGGATGAACGTGATGGATATGCGTCATGAGGGGGAGTCATTAGGAATAGTAATGGTGAATGGATGATCGGCTTCGCCAAAGCTATCGGAATTTGTTCAGTGGTGCAAGCAGAATTTTGGGGGGACATTTGAAGGTTTGTTGTATACATGGAAAATAGGGGCAAGAACGGTTGTTTTCGAGACAACAACGTTGAGGTTTTTCGGATGTTAACAAGGATTTCCCTAGGGGTGACATTGCCTTCTATTATGCAACATATACGATAATTGATGGAGAGGATTTGTTCAGTTTCTTTTTCACATGTTCGAAGGGGAGGAAATAAACTAGCCGATAGCATGACAAAAATGGTTCAAAAAGATGACTTTGTTAGACGAAAATGGTGGACACCTCCATATGCGATTCTACAGATCCTATGCGAGGATGTAGTAGACATTAGTAGTAAGTTATATCATGCTAGTTTTAGCCTTTTGTTCAACCAAAAAAAAAGAATATTTGTTTCTATATAAATAATTTTAACTTTCTAGTTAAATTTATTTGTTTGTTATATGTTTTATTTTTTCAAATATTAATTAAAAATGCGTAGAAGTTAATTAAAATATTTGTGAATATAATAAATTCGAGATAAGATCCAATTACAAAATGTAAAATTAAAATATTTTTATACTAATTTAGGATCGTTGCATCAATGAAAATAGACAATTGAATTAACAATAAGAAATTATAAGATATTCACTAATAAAATAATGAGATAATCTTAACTATTTATTTTTACTAATCCAACGATTTTAAATTAGAGTAAAACTATTTTTTTACATTGTGTAAGTGACTCTTAATTCTAAAAACTTTACTACTAATATAGTAAATAACCATTAATTATCATTTATAATTATAATTTGAAATAATATATATTAAAAGTCATTTAAATGTGATCAAATAATCTCTTGATTTTTGAAATTTTGAAATTATAGAATAATCATTAAAGTTTTTAAATAATTATTAAATTAATTTATAATTTAATGATTAAAACAATTATTTAAATATAATTAAATGATCATTTGTATACTTTTGTCTTGATAATTTATGTTTCATATATGAACCATGAAAAAACAATGAATTGGATCTCAATCCATCACACTATAAGATTAAAGGGTAAATTATACAAATAGTCCCCAAAATTTTAGGACACTTACATTTTGATCACCCAACTTTTGAAACTTACAATATAATCAACTTTTAATTCGTTTTCAGTTAGGTTGCTGACATTACTTCCCATTAGTTTTTTGTTGACATGACATCTAACCCCTGTCAATCCCCGATCAACCCCTTCTTCTTCTTCTTCGCTCACTTGTTTCTCCATCTCTCATTCCATTAACTCCTTCACCATCTTCATTTCTTATTCTTCTTATTCTTCTTCCATTAAAGCAACTTCTTCCACTCTTTTGCTCACTTATTTCTCCATCTCTCATTCCATTAAATCCTTCACAATCTTCATCAACATTTCCCATTTCACGAACCCTAGATTCATCCCATTTCTTTCCGATTCAACTCGTAACCCTACCTTGATTTCCTCCACCACCATTCTCCCATTCAATGGTTGCTCAGCTTGCATCGGCCATGCAAAGACTGGTACCCGTAGCATATGCTTTCCAAGGCTGAATTCCACCCACAGTGACTTAAAAACCCTTCGACACTTTGGTTATAAGTTTAAATGAAACTTTGGCATCTAGCATTTATGACCATGTTTGTTAAACTCTAGTATATATATTATTGTCTTCTTTTAAAGATCCATTTGCTAATAATTTGGTTTTTGATAGATGGATAATCCTGGAATAGAAACTGGCAGAAGTTGACTTCTCTAAGGAAGATCAAAATAACTTACTAAAGTACTTGGAGAAAAAAGAAACTGGATACATGCAGCATCAAAGGCATAAGATGGGAGTTGATGACTTTGAATTACTAACTAAGATGGGTGTTTCTCCATCTCTCCTTCATTAACTCATTCACCATCTTCATTTCTTCTTCTTCTTCTCCTCTCACACCCTCTTTAACCCCACTTTTTCCTTTGTGAGTTTCTTTCTTTCTCTCTTATGAATTCAAATATATTTTTCCTTTGTGTTTCGGTTCTCTTCGATTTTGAGGTCAATTAATCAATCAGAGTACTGTGATTCTATCAGCTTTGTTGCTTCCAATGGAAAAGCTAAAAGGCCTCAAGTCTGACTTTGCTTCTTTTTTTGAGATCATGTTTCTTTTCTTATCTTTTCTTTTCTTTCGGTTTCGACTCAAGTATTTTGTCGTACTGAATTGATTTCTAAAGTAACAAAAATTAATACCAAACAAATCTACAGTTTCTGATTTGTGTCTTCAGTGAAAATGAGAAGAACAGATTCATCAACTTCGTCTCCTGCTATCTTAGGTACTAATATTCAAATGAATTATTTTTTATTTGTTTTTGTTTTTTTTTCTGTGAGTTTCAGATCCTTATATTTGAAGATGAATGTCATTTGATTAAAGTGGAGACGATTTTATTGGAATGGAACCAATGAGTTTGAAAACAAGTTGACTGGAGGTGTGAGAAGAAGAAGAAAGAGGGCTAATGGGGTTAACAGGTTAGGTTTCACGTTAGCAAAAACTAATGGGAGGTAACGGCAGTAACTTACTAAAAAAAGAACTAAAAGTTCGATGATTGTATTGCAAGTTTTAAAAATTAGGTGAAGAAAATAAAGCGTCCTAAAAGTTCGGAAACTATTTATATACTTTACCCTAAGATTAATTCAAAGAAATCTATTATTGAGATTCTTAAAGAAAGGGTAATTCTGTCATTTCAATAAAACACCTTAAAACCCTAAAAATTCTCAACATATATATTTTATATATAGGGACTATTCCTCCAAGTGAATTCCCTTTGATCCCATTTTTGGGGGAAAGATGTTACATCTCTCATGGAAGAAGATGAAGAGCGTTCTAGATGGTGTATTCTTTTCTTGGGATTATGTAAGGTAAGTTATTCTATTAAACTCATTCCTTTTTCTTTTGTTTTAGATCATTAATGTTCAGCCCAATTTGAATTTTTGATAAATTTTCATTTCTTCCCCCCCCCCCCCACTCTTTTGAATTAGAAAAAGAGCAATAGATCTCTTGACCTTCGTGATGAACATTTCATTTGAATGCTAAAGAAGAAGTGTTTTGAATTTTTAGATTTTAGATTTTAGATTTAAATCTAATTAGGTGTTTATTTGTTTATTTATTTATTTATTGTAGCATTGTTTTTTATTTGTTTATTGCTAATTTCTTTTTAGACTTAACAATGAACTTATTCATTTTCATGTAGTTGTATTGTGTTTTTGATGGAGTTTTTTTTTTTGAAATGATTATGATGGAGTTAAGGTGATAGGTTAGGGGTAAATATAAATAGTAATAAAACAGGAGTTAATTAAGCCTAAAAAGTTGGCGTGCAAAGCTTAATTTGTATAGTTTCAAAATTTTTAGGGGTTTAAAATGTAGTTGAATCCATAAATTTGAGGTATGACACCTCGCGTAGTAAACATGGCTCCATCAATGGTTGTGTGTATTTTTCTAATTGAATTGAGCGAAGCAAATTTGATTTGATCGAAATCAAATTAACGTTTGATTTGAGTTGACTCAACTCAGATCTTAAGCGAGTTGAGCAATGTCTAACTCAACTCGATAAGTTAATTTTTATTAATGTTTTTTTAGGATGTTGATTTCCTTATTTCTAGGATTGATCATGTATTGTTAATTTTTTCACGAATGATTATAATATGTTAGTTTGATGTTTTTTTGTGGATTGTTGCTTTGATTGTAATATGTTACTTTGATGTATTTGTGGATTGTTGCTTTGATTGTAATATGTTGGTTTGGTGTATTTGTGGATTGTTGCTTTGGTTGGAATATATTAGTTTGATTTATTTGTGGATTGTTACTCTAATGTTTAGACTTTGAAATTATTTTATACTCAATTTTAATCATTTTTTGTTAAATTTATGAATTTATGTTTATATTAAGTTTTATATAATATTATTAGATTTTACTAGGTAAAACTTTTGGCGAGCTTAGCAAGCAATGAGTTTTTTTTAATGAGCACGAATCAAGTAAAATTTTATCAAGTTTATCGAGTATTGAATCGAGTCAAACATGTGTCGAATAATTTTCAAGTCAAGTCGAGCAGTGCTTAACTCGTGATCGACTCACTCGATCAACACCTCTAATCTTGATCTATGTGTGTCTCATTTATTTATTAAGGGTAAACTATTAGTTTTATTTCGTTTTAGTACCTAAACTTTCATTTATTTCAAAATCATAACTAACCTTTTGTTTCGTCTTGGTACATCACCGTTAAAATTTTCACATTTTACTTTTTTATGGGTAAATTACATCATTCATCACTCAACTATCTTCTCACTCATATTTTGGTCATTGAAGTTTGATTTTTTTAATTTAATTACTTTAACTTTCAAATTACTCCTAATTTAATTATATATTAATAAAATAATAATAAAAAATTGCATGTCACAAAAATTATTAATAAAATAAATTAGAGTGATTAAAACATGAGCAATTTAAAAGTTGAGTAGTTAAATTGAAAATTTTTAAATTTTAGTTATCAAAATAGGAGTGAGAAGATAGTTAACTGACGAATGATGTAATTTCCCCTAAAAAAAATGCCATGGGTAACACTTCCATTAAATTTTTAACGACGAGGTGCAAAAATGAACTGAAAGTAAACATTAGTTATGATTTTGAAACAAATAAAAAGTTTAGGTATTAAAATGAAATAAAACTGATAGTTTAGATATTAAACGTGTAGTTTTTCCTTTTTAAATATTACTAAAGACCACATGATGAAACGACTTCACCATCAATATATCAAATGATAATTTTTTTCATTCTTCTAAAAATTTAGCTCATGAAGTTTTGTTTAGGAAACTAAATCTTTTGCTTGTGCTCATTTCTTCCATTTGGTAATTCATGAATTCGTGATACACTTTGCGGTTGGGATAGTGGGCATCTGCCCCTTAAAAATATAGAAGTTAAATAAATGAGGCACTTCGTTTTCTCAACATTACTTGTGGTATTTTTTTCCTTCCACCTCTAAATAATCATTATCATGTTTAATGTTATCAGGTCAGGACAAAGATGATATAAGATATGTACTGCAAAAATGATTGGCATATATGGTAAATATCCCAAATGAAGGAAAAGGCCGGTGCCATGGTTGAAATTGCAGAAGCCTGCCTTCAATGGGGAATCAGTTCGGAGTCGATATCAGTGCAGACAATTCATTAACAGCTCGTTCTACTCCATAAATTATCATCTTCTTGATCTGTTTCAATGAAATTGAAAACAGTACAAGGTTTAGTAGGAGACCTATAAAAGTTCAAAACATCGATGAAAGGATGCACCTACCTCGAGTTTGTCTTCTCTGGCTCTATGGTTCTTCGGTAGCTGTCGGAACTCTTCCGTCAAACGAAGGCATTCCTTGATATTCTCCGGAGACACAAAGTCTACAGCCACTTTGGTGCATGACTGGAGAAAAATACGACAGCAAACATATGTCAAACATCAACAACATATGACACGGATAGATGTATTAAGTAAATACCTTAAGATTTCTAACTTGGTGTGGACATCCAGCAGGAATAAAAACAGCCTCTCCTAGCTTTTGCTCGAACGTCCACGGTTCGACTCCTAACATCATGCAAACACAGGTGAGGAACACAGTATTTACGAAGCTTTTATAGTAAATACTGAGATGCATTCCTCCTAACCGAATTCCTCCTTCAATTTCCTTTTGTGCTCCGCAGTTAGGTAAAATGACTGGTCATGAATCGGATGGACAACCTGATCATGAACGCAAAGCCATCAGGAACATCAGATGGGTGTAGTTGAAAAGGAAAAGTGCCTTCTAAAAGTGTTTTGAACGCAAAAGCTCGATTAGTATTTGCTTTTATTGGACAGCCACAAGCAAAGGTTTACCTTTTCAACTGGTGAGCAATAAGTATGCCTGAATTCTTTGGAGTGCTTCCTAAGATAATCTTCCAGTTTAGGGACATCCTCTCTCCTAAAAATGTCCCACAGGGCACCACCGGTCTCCTTTCCGCTGGTGGAGGGTTCAGGAATCAAAGCATTACATTCATTACCAACCAAGTTGTGATATTTCTGATCTGCAATTTTGGTCTCTCTCACCAAACGCTCCTTTGCATCCTGTTCTTTATGTTTCATTTTCAGCTTTGCCATCGCTGCTTTCTGCGCGTCGGTCATGGCTACCTCAGCTGTATGTGTCAAAATGTTTACCGCGTCTGAGAGATCACAGTGAAGCTTGGTGACAGAGTCCCCTCTTCCAAGCTCCTCAGCAATCCCATAAGCAATATATGTTTTTGGCCCCAAGTCTGGTTTGATAACATCCGGTGGCAACTTCACAGCAAGGTTAAGTATGCCAGACCTCGGATCAGTGTATTCTTGAAATGGCAACATGCTTATAAATTCGTCACAATGCCGAGGCAAGAGATCGTCAAACTTATCCGATGGTGGCCAGTCCTTCAACTTTAGCATCTCAGGCCATAAGTTTCCATATGTTCTCCCTTCTGTATAGCCTTTGAAAAATTGTCGAGCATTAATCTCAACCTGCATACCTTGCCAGAGTTAGACTTAAAAAACAACAATTAATGAAGAATGATTGGGAAATAAATGAAAACCTAACCTCACAGCCGGCTAGACAATCAATAGCCTTAACTTCGGACATTTGCGAATTCCCATTTTCGCACAGAGCACGCCACATTACCATTGGTTCCCAGCTTAAACCAGATGAATCCGCAAGAGTATTCGGAACTCTAACTGGTTCACCTTTAGCCCAGCGCATTTGAAAGTGACAAAGGCCTTCCTCATGATCTTTACTTGAAGTTGAAGAATATAAGTCATCGTCAATAGAAGCATCCCTATGTAATGTATCTTGAAACCATTGTCTCATTCTGCAGTTGCTCAAAGTTTGCCATGCCTTTTCTTCCAAATTCGAAATCCACCCCGCTGGAAGGATACGTTTAAGCTCCAATCTGCAATCGCCGCAACCACCAATTTCCTTTGGAGGACAAGTAATACTTCCATCATTGTTAGCTTTCCACAGAATTGATGGTTCAGCTTGTTCATTTGCATTTTCTTGAAGATAAGATTCCGGCAAAGGGTCTCCACCGTGTACATAATCCGAACCTCTGTACATGTATTGGTAAGGAACATCATCACGGCTAGAAAATTTTCCTTCCCGAAGTTCCTTGCAACAACTAAGACAGAGTTCATATGAACATTTTGGGCAGCTACGATGAAGGTCAAATATTGAAGTTGCACAATGGTCACTGTTCCAAGGAGAGTAAAAAATCAGGGCCAGGGACAGGGAGATGGTTAACTAAGACAGAGGAATTGCTTACCAATAGATACGCTCGTCGGTATAAGAAAGAGTCTCTGATATTTCAACTTTAGAAGGCAGTAACCCTATATAGAAAACTTTTTGTCAGGAACTATACAGAAAGCTTGCGGCCAAAGCTTTAAAGAATGAAAATCATACCTTGAATGTGAGCCTCAACTTCTGTCTCCTGCTTTTGCATCTTGCAAATCTGTGTCATGAAGGGACGCAGTGACTTAATCAAGTATTGCAAATGCTTAATCCTTTCCTCATCTGTGATGTCTCTCTTTGACGTCTGCCGATTAAGCAGAAAGAGAGTTACTATGTGAAAGTTCCATTGACCTTGTAATACCCTAATTTTGTCCTAAAAAAAATAGGGAACAAAACCTTAATTAACAACAGTTTGAGTGATTAACAACAGACCTTAATTAATCCACTTGAGTGCAAACAGATGCTGCAGTTACAATTCCTGCTACAAAATGGGCACTGCTTTGCAATTTCTTCTTCGGGTATATTGGGGTAACTATACACATCACAGGAGAAAAAGTGAGAAACAATACAAGATTATTAATAATAAAAGATTGGGGCCTTTTTTATGTTGAAGATGTTACCATTGTTTGATGCAACGAGTGCAGTACACTTTGTCTTTACATTTCAAGCACGGAACGATGATTATTCTTTCTTTCATGCACTGATGACACTTGAATTTTTTTCTCTTGGCCTGATAGATGCAGGATTTCTCAATTGTCAGTGAAGACATATACATGAAAAAAGAAGGCATATCAGTTGCAAAACCAGAACTAAATTCGATACCTCAACGTTCTTCTTTGTGGATCTATCACAGCTGCTGCTATCATCGCATTTCAAATGTGAACCTGATGAGACTGATGAAGATGATGCCGATGAAAAAGAACGCCGTGAAGCATCCGTAGGGTCATAGTTTTTTTCCATAACCCCTAGAGGGCTTCTTTCAGTACTCACACTGCCCGACTTCCTACACTTTTTCTGCAGTTTAATGTTCATAATAGCAATATCCTCCTTATCACTGTCCGACTTTCTGCGTTTGTTCCGCAGTTTAATGTTCATGATAGCAAAAGCCTCCTCATCCCATTCATCTATTACATCTTCCTCAACAGAAGTGCTTCTCTTGTCTATTCCGTTCCGGCGCCTCCTGGGAAATTCCTCATCCTCCGAGTAATCGATGTGATTTTTCGCTCTTGTGGTCAAAAACAGGCCACCATTTCCCTTCCTTTTATTTTCTTTGGGAATTATAATGGGATTACTTTTCTTTGTCGCCCGCCTATTTAAGGATATCTGCTTACGACAACCGGTAGAACAGCTGAAGCGATCTCGCTTAGCAATCATGGCTGCCAGTCTCACTGCAAAGATTAAACCAACATACATACTTCATAACAACTAATGCTAATCAAAATTCAAAGAAATTAGCATTCTTAATGTTCTTTTATACAGAAAACATCTAATTCTTTTAAAATATCGAACAAAAGCAAGCAACGCAGTTAACAACAAACTTTAGTCATGTATTCAGTGTGATTATCAATCCAAAAAGCTCATAAATTATTTCTCTGTAAATTATCTGGAAAATTGAACGTAATTCAATCTTATGATCATTCGAAACAAAAGAAAAAAAAACTGCTACTGAAACCACCTGCATTTACTCAGATTAACACAAATTAATTATCCACGAAACACCCAAGATTTCATTCAAAAGGAACATTAAATTGAGTGAAGATTTTCATCTAAATACAGACAAATAATGTGGATCCGTGACCATCAAGAAATTCATCCACCGCCGAATCTCATTGCGGCGGCAAAGCAATGCAAAAAACAAAAAGAAACACAAAGCCATCTCATAAAAAGATTAACATCGATATAAAGCATAATGGAGAAATCATAAACGCAAAAGAAGAAGAAGAGAAGAGTCTGAGACCGACCTGATTGCTTGAATGAAAAGATTATAGGGCGAAGAATTAATTGTGTTTTTTTATTGATTTAGAATCTTTATATGGCTAATGAATTATTTGAAGAAAAGGAAGGAAATAGAATTAGAAATCGGGAAAGACTGCAGTTAGGAGAGGATGAGTACTATTCCATCGGTGCTTCGAAGTAGGTTTATATAGTGTGACAGGATGGTCGTTTTCAATGGGCCAGGCTCTGGGACCAGACCAGACACAGAGGCAGTGTCCCGTATATGCGGACCTCTCGTTTGTGTTGATTTATATGTATTTCCTTTAATATAACCACCTTATTTAGTAAAATATTTAATTTTATATTAATTAAATAAATTAAAATTTATCGAAAGAGATTTAACATATTTATGGTCTGATATACGGGTTTATATTTGGTATTGGTTTTTTTAATATGGTGTCTACATTTTTTATTTACAATGATATTTGATTTGTATCATTTTTCTCCTAACATGATATATGTGATAACGTGGAATCTTAACCATTAATGAGATTCTAAAACACGTTGAAAATGTTACGTAATCACATGTTAGGTTTGTCAAATTCAGATATAATATTATAGAAAATACTAAACTTCAGTATCACATTTGATATAAAAATATATACGACGCATTAATTAACGAATTCAAGTATGAAATTAAATTAAGAAAATAGGTATCAATTGATAAGATAAGGCATTAAGTCTTTGTAGCATTCGATCTAAATTAATCAATCGACAAGTTAAATTCTAATAATCATATCTAGACATGGACACGAACGAGTCGGGTCAAGTTAGGGCTTTACCTATCCAAACCTAACTCGAATTTAATACTTTCTATATGTTACCCAATCCGACCTAGGTTTAAACATACTTCACGTGACTAGAAACTCAACTCTATCTTTAGGATAAAAATCTCACGCCTACACCTAATTTGACTTGATACAATATATATATATATATATATATGGAGTGGTCAAGAGACGAGATTTAGCACGATTCAACATTATCTATCTCCACAGACAAGAAAAATCAATAATTTACTGTAAGTGTAGAGATTACAAATAGTACAAAATACATTATATATCATGTATCTCAAAATTCGATATAAATATCCAAACTCGATGAATCTAAAAAAAACTCTTCCAACATCCCTAAAAAATTATGCAATGTAAACCCCCAAAAGTTACAGAGACTACAAAAGAATTATATCTTTCTAAAAATAATTCTCTCATAATTCTAAAAGGTAAAACCTATTCTATATTTATAGAAGGAACAAACTTGATCACCAAGAAGTTTTATTACATAAGAATTCTTAATTAAATAAATTTAATCACAGAGTAATATTCAACTAATAAATTATAATAAAATCCAACTTAATTTTGAATTAAAATTTAAGTCAATATCTAACATAAAATTCTATTGTTTATTTAGTAAAATATGAAATAATTAAAAAATATATAGAGGGGTAAATTTATTACAATTATCTCTAAATATATAAAGGATAATTATGTTATTATAACAAATCAAGCATGAGTAGAAGATTTCACTCTAAGCTCAAATCATAATCAAGCTTATCCTCAAAAAATAAATGATCTTATAAAATCAAATTGGATCGAAATCTATCGAATCCAACTCTTGCACACGTTCCTAACTACAAAAATAAATAAAATAAAAACAAAAACACATACATTACATTACATTAAGAAAATAACAAATTAAAGTATCAAATAATATATTAAGTCTTATTAAATAATTAACTTTTATATTGTTATTGGTTTTTGTATTTATAGACAAATTGATTGTATCTAATAGTAATTAATATATAAGAAAATGAAGAAAAAGAAATAATAATATAATTTGTGGCTAAGCTATCTTGCTGACACGAGGCTGCAACTAGAGCTTTGTGTTCATACAAGGAACCAACATCCCAGTCCTCGGTGGAAGACCAGTGTCATAAGTGCAACGACGATAGACCTCATGCTCGGCCGCAGCTGAGGATTTTCCTGCGTGCAAGCTTGGGCGAGACGCGCCATCTCCTACCGATGACAGCTTGTTAGAACCGAGATTGATGAGAGCGTATAAGTATATACTAACATTTTGTTTACGGACCGGGACTCGAATTCACCTTGCAGATTGCATCGAAGGAGTAGCCTTCGCCTAGCCTGGGGTCAACAAGTTTCTGCAGATCTTCTCTTGGATTGGGCTGATTAAGAACATCATCGAACTGCGAATATCGAACCGAATTCATTCAAACACGATTATACGAGTAGTGTGACTAATGTAGTGCAAGACAAAGGTGGTAACGGATTAATACCAGCGCAATGTGTCCCGTCGATTCGATTACTTCTTCGTTCGTCTTGACGAAAGCTTCCCTGGCAGATATGTTCATAAAGAACAACTACGAAAGCGTATACATCGACCTTGGGGGAAACATCACCGTATTGAGGATACCTTTAGACAATGCCACATTGAGGCAAATTAGTTACTTGTTCAACGAGTTTGCAACGAATTGTTTCCGAATTCAGTGAGTTTTGTCAACCCGAAATCAGCCACCTATTCACCAATACATACACCAATCAGGTAGACCAAATTCGTCTGAATCTTATATTAGTTTTCGACATGTTATACAGAAATGTTTGATCACCTTTGCTCGAGAGTTCTTATCTATTAATATATTTGCTGATTAGATATCGCGATGAATGTAGACAGGGACTGTATGCTCGTGGCTGTATTCGAGCCCTCTGGTCGAGTTCAAAGCGATTTGCACCCTCGCGGACCATGGCAACGGATATCTATCTGCAAAACAGAAAACATAATATATCCAGATATGAAAAGATGCTAATTGTGCATAGATCACTCATAGAAGTACTTGTTTCTCACCTTGCCGGCGCAAATGCTGACTTAAATTACCATTCTCGATGAACTCGTAGACTAAGAACAACGAACCTTCGACACAATATCCCATTAAGCGCACCTGAAATGAAATTTTAAGATACGGTCACGTCTACATTCGTGATCATATGATTTACGAATGCTTGAAATCACCATATGAGGAGAAGCAAAGAAGGGAATACCAAGTTCAAGTGATGAACTTGTTAAAACCTTCAATTCGGTGAGAAATTCCTTGGACGCTTACATATCCATTTTCCTGATTGCAGTTTTCTGCAATCATTAGCAGGTCTAAACATGATTTGGTACCCTGCAATAATCCTCATCTATATTAACATTGAGCGAGATGTTAGGAGAAGGTACCTCGCCTCGTAATTCTTCGAGGTAAACGGATCCAAACCCTCCTTGTCCGATCTTATTAGCAATGCTGAAGTCATTTGTCGCCTTGGCGAGCTCTTCGTATGAGAACTCCACAGATTTATCCACCGTGATACCGGTGAGTCCCGGAGAAGAAAACAGAGCTGTTGTCTCCAAAATTTCCTTCGGGGTACCTACATACACAATACCAAATGATACAGAGGAGATTAATCCAAGCTCGAACCTAGGTGTCCGAGTTATGTGTCGAATGCCATATAAAGGCCGTAAAATTTCACCACGTCCGTGTTGATTGTAGTGGTACGGTGATGCTTGTAGGAGTAACGATGTTTCGGCGACCTTCTTCCTTCTATAAAGGCCAGCATATATAACAAGTCCCAACAACAAAGCCCCTGCAACTCCGGCAATCGATATGCCGGCAATAACTCGACTCGAGATTCCTGGTTCAAATGCCACAAGTAAAGCTCAAGACAACATCTAGACATTGAGGATTGAAAGCTGTGACTATGTGTAGAGCATGATTGATCCTTACCAGTTGTGCTGCAATAAAAGAACAAAGAACAACAGATACAATTCATTAGCTAAACTGGACAAAGTTGTCATTAAAAATTCAGTTTAAGGATGTAAGAAAGATGGTATATCCATTACCTGGTCTTTAATGGTGGAAAATTTCCAGTTTAGTCTGCATAGGAAGGAAGAAGAAAAGGCCATAATTTAGATTAATCCTTACAGTTATTCTGTCATGATCCACCACTAAATACACCACGTTGATGTATGATTTTATGTAAGGAAGAACAAATTTAAAAAAATAAAAATCTAAAGTATAATTTTTTAAAAATATATATATAGAAGCGACCAGCCCTATCCGCTCTGGGTCCATCCGTGGTCACGGGTGAAACATTTTTGGCAGCTTTGAATTCAACACTGATTCTTTGTTTTTGGTCTTTACATGTTTTGGAAGAAATAATAATAAAAATATATTAAACAGTTGTTAATGATAT